GACGTGGCTCGGGCCGAGAGGCCACCCTAAGGGGGGCTCGGCAGTCTACGTCCGAGGGATATGACAAAGGCCGAGGGACACGACTCAGGCGGGCAGGCCGCCCTGAGGTGGACTCGACAGTCTACGGTCGAGGGACACGACCCAAGCGGGCAGGCCGCGCTGAGGTGGACTCGGCAAGGACACGGCTCAGGCGGGCAGGCCGCGCTGAGGTAGACTCGGGTAGTCTACGGTCGAGCTGTGTAGATTCAGAAGGGTTTAAGCCGGGGCCAACCGCGAGCCGAGAGGGGTTCAGGCAGATACTGAACCTTCGCTCAGAAGAGACTGAGGCAGGGCTTAGATTTCTTTTCATGAGGACTACATCGGGTAGCCACCGCGCGGTGCTTGACCTCTCTTATGGAGCCCGCGATCGGAAGCCGTCCCTTCTCCTCACGGCCGCCCAGGCCTCTGCTGCGATGTATCGGTTAGCCCGCTGGAGCATCTCTAGCACTGTGGTGAGAGGTCGCTCCGCGAGGGCCCAGAGGAATTTGGAAGGTCGCAGGCCCATTATAAACGCCTTTGTTTGAGTCAGATGAGCAATGCCGCGGAGGGCTTTGGCCGTGCATAGGCTACGAAGTGGAGCTCGAAGTCATTGGCGAGCTGGTCGAACGAAGCAATCGTTCCAGTCTTCAAGACGCCATACCACGCGTGGGCCGGCCCTCTCCGAGTGGTAGGAAACGCTCTGTACATCAAGGCATCAGAGGTTTCGTATAGTGCCATTTGGGCGCGAAAAGCGGCTACGTGGTCCGCTGGATCGGTGGAGCCAACGTAAGCGTCTAGAGAGGGGAGTTGGAAGTCCGGGGGGACTGTCAAATCCCGTATCTCGGGCGTGAAGGGAGACCCTTGGTGTGCGTCCTCCCCGAGCTCTCCCTTGGACCTGCGAACCTCTTTCTGCACCTCATCGAGTCGCTGGCTGACGAAGCGCGACTGGGCCTGCAGGGAGTCCGAAGAGAGTGCCTCGGGTTCCAGGCGACCGCTCGGGTTTGCCATCACTGGATCCCCGAGTGGGGCCAGTTGGACCCGAGGCGAAGTGGGGGGCTCCGGTAGTGTCATGTGGGCCCGAACGAGCGCCTTGCGTTGTCGCAGTGGTTCGATCGCGGGCGAGTGCGCCGGATGAGAAACGAGCGGGATAATGGTTTGCACCGTTTCCATCAGAGCTCGGACTTGACGGGGGCGAGGTCCTGAAAGGCCTCGGGTGACACGGGCGTTGAGTCGGATGGGGCGCCGTCGGGCGACGACAAGCCCGGGTCGTTGAATATTCGCCAATATCGTTCGGAGGTCGTGGCGGGGTGTTCGTCACGATGGTCTCCGTGTGGGGGATGTTCCCCCGAGGCTTCGATCGGGTGTGACCTCTCAACCGTGGGCTCATCTGAGCCGCTCGGGTGATTACCCGACATTCCAGGCCCTCCTTCTAGCGCTAATCTGTTGTGGGAAACAACTTTGAGTCGTGGCCTCGGGGCCGACGCAGCTCGGTTCGGGTCCGGACGACGGGGATCTCCCTAGGGCGTTCCTTGAGCCCGCTGGGGTGGTCGGGTGAGGTGGTCCGATCGGGACGATATAGCCATCTCCTCCGGGAAGGAACTCCTCGCCTGCGCGTCCGACGGGGACCTTCGGCTTCGCACCTGCACAAAGGTCGGGCCGAGGTGCTCGACCCGACCCCTCCGACGATCAAGTCAGATAATAGTGAAGGGGGTTTCAGATAAAGAAGAGTTTTTGTGTCTTTCCCTCTCTCTGATGAACGAGAGGATATTTATAGGGAAGCTTACTGCTTCCTAAGCTGCCCACTTGCAGAGGTCAGGCTGGTAGTGTCTGACGATTGGGTTGACGTGACGTGAAGAACGAAGCTTGAGCAAGGTGTTTAATGTGCCTCGATCGATGTTCCGATCTGCATTGACCAGGTGCTATCACGTCGATCGAGGCGTGAGGTGTCATCTGACGTCAGCCGAGTCTTATCATAATTACTATCCTCATCACTACTGATTCTTACGTATAAGATATCGTTTTCTCTTCGGAGACACTGGAATACTGGAGTACTGGAGTACTGGAATCGTGTATTCGCATTTAGCATTCCTCAAGTATTCCGTGGAGTACTGGAATCGTGTTACGAGTGGTTCACAACAAAGAGGTGAGAGAGCAGTTGGCTGCTAAGTTGCCACCACCATGGGATTCTTAGATTAATCTTGTTAAGGCATCACAGCAGGAAGCTCACCTCTGGGCCAAGACAGCGTCGTAGCATAACATGGGCCTGTCAGTCCCCGGCCCGACCTGTATGTGCCGGGAAATGTTATCAGTGTCAGATTTAAAGAACACTGTTCATGTATGCAATTTAATATCGATAGAATTCAGATCATTCGTGTGAACTGGCTTCGAGAGAAACCATTCGTGGACCGCCACGATGTCCATCTTATCAGAATCCACCGGAAGTCAAGCGAAACCAGCAGTCAACACTTGCAGTGAGTCAAGTTCTTCGCAGAATAAAAATAGAGGGTCAAAACAACGGCTGGTGGAAGAGGACGAAGCGGACGCGGGCTCGGTACGCACCGGGTTTGCAGCGGAGGGGCGCGTCGGTCACAGGTGGGGGCGAGGAGTGGGCTGGTGGTGGCCCCGGTGGGGACGCCATGGATGTCGGGGAGCGTTGCGGTACGGGAAAGTTTGCTGGTTGGCAGCAGCCCCTCGAGAAGAGAGCAAAAAGAAGCGAGAGGAGGAAAGAAGAAAAGACGGGAGGGACAGATCAGCAGTTGGATGGATTGTACGCAGGAATGGGATGGATGGGACGGATGATGAGCCGCCTCCACCAACCAACACCCGACCTTTCCCCCGTCTCTCCTCCTCCTCTTTGCAACCCTACTTTTTCCTTCCCTTTAATCCCCGTTCTGTATCTCTCTCATAATAAATGAAGAAAATATATCGCGAGGTGCGTCTGATGTTTCAGAGAACAGCGGAAGCATATGAACATGAAACGAGCAGAGATTAGACGTATAAAGCTGAATCGAGACTACTGTTCGCAGGACTGGGACGGACTGCAGAGGCACGTCTGCCACCTGCGCCCTGCGCTGACCGGTCCGGCCGACGGTGATCCGGCCACGATCGGTCGGTGTCTCCTCGTCCCACGAGAAAGGCCGCGAGCTGACACCGGCCCACCTTCCGAGAGCCGCTCCCCGTCCCCCCAACCCTGCCGAAGTAACGCCCGCCGCGTCGACGCTGCGTCCAACCGGCGGCCATGCCCCGGTTTTTTTGTAAGCGAGCAGGCCCCGAGCACGGCCAGCGTTGACTTGCCGGCCAAAGTGGGGCCCGCGGTAACCAGCAAACGATACGGAGGGAGCCACCCACCGCAATAACGCGAAGGCGATGGGGCGAGACTCCCACCGTGGACTGACCGCCAACCTGTGGCGTGGTTGGCCAGCACTCTGGTTATTCTCTTCCTTAATTCTCATTTCCTTGCAGGTGGTGGGTGGTGGTGCAGCTGCTGCATCTGCATCAACTCGTTCTCGTTGCAACAATTCCCACTAGCCCAAAAGAGAAGGCACCAAACACTAGGCGACGTGGAGGCCAGACGACCCACTGCTCTCCCCCCCTCCCCATATCAACCTATCTAACACTAGACCTATAATATGATTCCTGTAGAAACAAACGGGGGGGATGCAGCGGGACCTCCGTCCTCGATGAAAAGACCTCATCCTCGCTGCTTCCCATCCGAAGCAACAACGTGGGTGGCTGTGGCCGAATAGCGTCCGACTACGCGCCTTGCGTGAGCGAATAAAATACGGTAAACGATGGGCGACGTGTCCAAGTATCGCGTTTGCTTTGGGACCGCGATCACATCTGTATCGCGGCAGAAGGCGATGCTGACCTCCACGCGTTGGACGCGAATACCTCACGATATAAATATATTTTTGTCTCTTAAATATTCTTTTAATAATAAAATTGATATTTGACCTTGTCGTGCTTGGCAAACTATACCCTATTTTCGAACTGAGGTCTGATGCTAAAATTACTACAAGAATTATGTTAATTCCACAACCAGCATTCTTGATTTGGATCGCATCCGTGATTCAGATTTATTAATTCTTAAGAATAATAGTTTTTAATTATAAATCGAGAGTGGAGGGAGGGGTTGTTTTCGTTAATGAAACGCTAGAGAAGGGTAGTTTCGTGATTCGACTGATGGAGCGCAGCCGGGCGTGCGAATATTCGGCGGGGGTGGCGGGAGGGGTGGTTGGCGCGCCTGCGGTTCGGCTTTCCCGCGCGAGCTCATCGGGTGGGCGGTCGCAAATGTTGTGGGTTGGGGAGCGCGTACGATTTGCTATTGCCGTTTCTGTTTACGCGGGAGATCAAAGGATGACGCGAATTCGACTACCCAACTGAGGCGCAATTTTCTTCTTAGTTTTATTTTTTATTTGTGGAAGATTTTAAGATCATTCGATACGATTTTAATTTTTTTAGAAACATAATTCCAATCAATTATCAGTCCAATAATGATCCATGAATAGGTTTTTCATTTGCATTGATATTCAAATACATGTCATTAGACGTATAATCTCATTCCACTATCACATTTTATATGCTTTGGTCGACAAAAAATAGATCAATTACGAAGGAATCGGATTCGGAGCCGCGTTTTTAGATCCGATCCGTTCCTTTATCCTCGATTTCTACCCCGCGCCGGCACCGTCTACTCCTCACCGTTCTAGGCATCTTCGCGCTTACAATTTGCAGGCCCACTGCCATGTCCAATCACAGCAAAGGTAAGCTAACGGGTAAGGGTCTTAGTATTTCATTTATAGACAATGCGACCTTCGCGGTTGCTTGAGAAATAAATGAAAACAAATAAAATGGCGGCGAGAGAAATGTAAAGAGAAAAGGGCAAAAAGATAACGAAGGGTGTTATGGTCATTTCAGAAGAGCACAGTGGTACGAAGACGGGCCATAAAAGAACGGCGCGGAGCGGGCGGCAGAACGAAACTAACCGAGGAGAGGGGAAGCGAAGTAAACTAATTGCGCGATCGAGTCGGTTCGTGGGGACGGCCTCAACCGAACGATGGCCAGCGAAGGAATTTGAGACGGGGAAGTCTTCAAGCCTCCTCTTCTTTTAAGGCTCCCCCCTCTTCTCCCTGCTTCCCCCGATCTGCCCTTGCGAATCCGAGAGGGGAACCATAGTTGTTGTGATCTACCCGGTGCGCGACGATCCGATCGCGGGCGATGCGGAAGGGCCGGGCAGAAGCGGCGCACCCACCGGCGGAAGTCGGCGGGGCGGCGGGGACGCGTTTCCGAGGCGTGCGGAAGCGGCCCTGGGGCCGATTCGCAGCCGAGATCCGGGACCCATGCAAGAAGACCCGGGTCTGGCTCGGCACCTTCGATTCTGCCGAGGACGCTGCGCGTGCCTACGATGCCGCCGCCGTAGCCCTTCGCGGCACGAAGGCCAAGACCAATTTCCCCTCCTTACCGTCCGCCTTCCCCCCGGCCCCTCTCCCCGCCGCCGCCGCCCACTTCCCTTTCTATCACCAGCATCAGCACCACCCGCCGCCTCCCCCTCAGCGGCCGACGTCCAGCAGCCACAGCAGCACCGTGGAGTCCTTCAGCGGCCCGCGGCACCCCTCCGCGGCGGCGCCGATCCACATGCGGCCGCGGATCCTTAGGAAGCAGATCAACCCCCCGCCACCCCCGCGCGTACTCAACGGCGACGATGACTGCCACAGCGACTGCGGCTCCTCTTCCTCCGTCGTCGATGACGACGGTGACATCGTGTCGTTGTGCCGGCAGCCGCTGGCTTTCGACCTCAACCTCCTTCCGCCCTCGGAGGACGACCTCCACGATACGGCTCTCCGCCTCTGATGTCCGATCCCGGGGCTGAGAGAAGGGAAAAGCTAAAAGAAATGGTTATTTCCTTCTCTCCTTGCCGTTTCGCCTATCTACTCTCATAAATACTTTCGATCTTACGGTTTCTATACATGATCTTTCTGTATGGGGTTGGATTTGAGGTTTGAAAGCTATTATGAGGGGTGAGGATTAAGCGATCGGGTGACATCAGATCAGATCTGAGGTTTGTATTAGATCTGTTGCCCTATTTTTGCCCTTTGTTACCTTGTACAAACAAATGCCTATCAAATTCGATAAAATGAAAAAAAAAAAAAAAGACCAAAGAAGTCTCTTAAGTTTATTTGGTTCCTCCCATCATCTCCAATGTTGTGCATACATTTCTTCTAATGCCAAAGCAGAAAGATGAAAGGAGTTTTCCATGGATTGAATTGGATATGCTCTGGAGGTTGCCGACAGAATAAGTAGATCCATCATGTAGCAGTAGAAGAAGGGGACGCATGGAGTCAGATTGTGGCTAAACTGCTCTGTGCTTGATTCACTGCAGCTGCGTTGTTTTCTTGTGGTTGCATTGACAAGATTAAAATCCTTCGAGGACTTCTGGGAAGATGGAGATAAGAAATTACATCTGGAGCTGACTAGATATGTAGTGATAGAAGCAGCAGAAATCTATGGTATAATCCATCAAACATGTTTGATAATTTGTCAAATGCATTTTATGGTTTCTGCTTTTAGTTACTTACCAGACAAGGTTAATAGATCTATCAGCATTTAGGATCAAATATAGGGGGCATAATAGTGATATGGAAGTATTTTTGGTTGCTCTTCTCTCTTTTTTAGCTTCTGCTAAAACGAATGTGTTTATAAAAGCTGTTTAAGCTGCTGAGGTTCCTTTTTTGTTAGTTTTTTACTGTGATAATATTGCATTTAAGCTGCTGAGATTTATGTTGATTGCCTTTTGAGATTGTTCAACCAAAGTTTCTCTATAAGGACATATTGTTCTTGATTCAGCTATCACAGGAGTGTCATATGGTACTGATTTGTTTTTATCTTGAGCCTTCCCTTCTTCCTGCTGATTCAGGGTCGGTCGATCGCAGATTGTTAGTTGGTCTTTCCATTCTGTATTAAGCTGAGATTTCTTGGAATTCTTTTTTCAGAAAGTTTTCAGTGAAAAGTGAATGCTATATATGCCTACCAATTTCTTTATGTGGTAGTTGCTATTTCCAAAATGGCATGAAGTGAGATGTAAATTAATTTGTAAGAGGGGGAAAAAAATTAATATTCAGGTTAAGGAATTTGTCGAGGATCTTCGTAGAAATATCTTAGTTCTTTTCTGCCCCACTTACAATGGGGTAGGAAGCTTCTTCCATGTGATGTAGAGTGGTGGAGGACAGGCTAAGACCAATCCCATAGCTTGAGGACAGCAATGTGTTGCCACTCATTTCACAAACATTATCGGACTGAAAAATTTTTATGCACAGACATGTTTAGAGACCATTAACATTTTGCTTTTAGTTCTTCCCTTCCTGAAATGCTGATTAATAGATAAAAGCCTAAATGATCGTCCGACAACTTCATTCCTCTTATACATCATATGCTATTTCTTCCTTGAACTTGGTGTCACAATCATTAGTTTGCTTCATAGCACCTTAGGCATTTGGTTTAGTTATTGGGTAATTACTACAATTCTGTTATCTCTAGTAATAGCCTTTTGGAATTCTGTAAATAACTGGTGTTTGAGTGATTAATAGTCTTTTTCATGGGAAAATTAAGTGGTATACATGATAATGCCAACAGCAATTTGCCAATCTACAAGTGGAAGGATAAATGTGGCTGACAATTACTTATCCATTGAAAGACTTAAACGCAAGGTCTCAAATCTTCATATAATTCTTCCAGATTTTTCTTGTTCTCTCTTACCTTTTCTGTGGTACTGAGTCGATCATTTGATTTTTCTCGTTCTCATATATCTGTAGTATTGCAGTGAGGTTGTGTGAAAAATGTTGATAATGGTATCAAACCAAAACTTTTAGTAAGAGTTGCCAAAAACTGTGGATTGGATTTATAATTGTCTGATTCTGTCGGGTTTATTTATATACTTTCAAACATCTTTAGGTCATCGACTGTCTTAATCTTTTGTGTTGGTTAATTCTGCGAAGGTGTGGAGAAAATTGGTAAGTTCGATGTATGCTATTATGCATCTGTATCTCATCTACCCCAACATATTTTTCCTTTTTAGATTACTACTGCATTTTCTTGGTGGTGTTTGTTTTAACACAGTTGGCTCTCTAAGGGGAGTAACATGAAACAACATATTGTTTGATTCTTTCCTAAGCCTCCCGAGAACAAGCGGACGCTTCTCCCATATTTGGTTAGCTCTTTGGAGGCTTTTGAGTTGCTGTATGTTCAAACCTCGTTTCCCAGCGGGTAGAGCAAGTGATTGACACGATAGATATCGGCTTTGGGTGTTTTAGAATTCTTCTTGCCTTCCCCAGTTCGTGAAGCAATCTGATGCAGAAATTACTCCACGTTAAAATCTTCTTTTGAAGTTGTGATTCCAGTTTAGTATTTAGAATTGGCATGTTTATGCAAGCGGTTTTACCTCTTCTGGGGAGCTGAAGAAAGATGTGGTAATGTATGTTTGAGATCATTAGGTAAAGGGTTTACCAGTAGATTTGACATTGTTTCCATGCCCAATGGCCTCATCTGCCCTTCTTTATCTGTGAAGTGGGTTGGAAATTTCCAAGTCTTTTGGAATCTAAGATACTAAGATCATTTGCAATGCTAAATTAGAGGTCACCACTATCGTGTTGACTCGATTTGATGGAACAATGAATGAAATGAATCATTTACGGGAGGAAAATAAGAAGTTTCTTAAGAGTATGTAGTGGGCAGAATCCAGCCCGATAGATTGCTTACGAGTATTGCCAGCTGAGGGTTTATGAAACGTTCAAGGCATGCTCAGCTATGATTGTATCAAGCATAATTCTCTTTTAAGAAGTTCCAGGGTATTCCTTGGGGTGGAAATTGTCGTCATCGTGTGAGAATCCCGAGGTGCGTGTGATCGCGATCAGATTGGACTCTGGGTTTATCTCGAGATAGGTATTTGGTTCGATCATGATTTAAAATACTGGTATTTAAAATTAGACTTGATGTTGGTAGATTCAAATGTAGGTTATTAGATTTTGAACATACAACCAATTTATGTTTTAATTTTTTAATTAATTTAAAATTGATCCGATTTGATTTCGGTTCAATTTTGATTCAAATCGAAAAGATTATTTATTACTTGGCATGGATGACAACCGAAAGGCTTTTCTCACGTTAAAATAAAATGCCTTTAAACTATGCATATAGTCAGTCAAGCTGTAAATTTTGGTGCAGTATCGCTGCTCACATTATATTCTCGTGGAGTGCACTTCATTTCTACATTCATGTTTCTACCCGTTTGTTGCACCTGTAGGTAGAAACACAATTTGCAATAGAATAATCGATTGGATCCCACCTACCATTATTACCTTCAACGTATTCACGTTTAAGTTGGATCGATCTTTATAAGCTTCGCCTGTGATATGATCGGACCGTACAACACATACTCGTACAAATACAATAAATAGTTGGATAATCTTTATCATCGATCTATTAGATTATGGGATCAGAACGCCTTCTAGCAAAAGAGATGTTTCGCCATCCAAGTCCAAGACGATGTGCTCCTAACAAAACCTTAGATGCCATTATAACCCACGAAACTACATGAAATTATCGAACTATGTCGAAGAAGGAACCAAGTCAAGATATGAAAACTGCTTGATACATCGACCCTGCAATACATATGCTTCGAGGATAATTACACGACAAGGAAATAAGGAGATTTAGTAATATGATCTGTCGAACAAACTGCTAAATAGATCGATACAACTGACTTGTATATATGATTAGGAACATCTGACTCTTTCTTGATCGCGTATGGGCATGTCTCTGGATTGACATCAGCTTAAGACTCGGTCAATGGGGAGAGCAGTTGACCTTCCCTGTTCAAGCAGTTGACCATTCGGTAGTGATACGTAACGATCCCCAAGGAATTGACCAAACGAAGCGGAGCCGTGCGCAGATATGGCATCGACCAGGAGGGCATGCGTTGGCTGGGTCGCGTGTTGACATGTCCGCGGTTTCTTCACGCGACCTCGACCGACTATTCATAGCTGCCTCCTCTGCTCCCTCCCTCGACAAGGCTTCGACCGCAAACTCCCGACTCTCTCCCTCTCTCTCTCTCTCCCTCGGCTCTGCATCGGGAGAAGTGCCTCGTCTCCTTGCATCGACATGGCTGTGAGTCCAAGTTCCTCTTCTTCGTTCGGTTTCTTTGATTGCTTGTGAAGTAGCCTTCTTCGTTCAGTTTCTTCTGTTTGCTTTGGCAACACCCATTCTCGTAAGGAAGGAAATCCTTGTCACGAGGGGGAGCGGATCTTTAGAAGCCTGCAATCGGCTCTACTTAAGCACTGTCTGTCATTTGTGATCTGCAGCAACGAGGACACGTACCGCGTTTCGGTGATTGGAACGAGAACGCTGCCTACACGATATGCTTCGACACGGCACGCAAGGGGAAAGTTGCCGGAGGCAACATCGTCAACCCAAATGATCCAGAGCAGAGCCCTGAGCTCCACAAGCCTGCTGCAATGGCTGCTGCAGAACCCCAGCATCCTAAGCAAGGCCGCGGGGACAAGGCCGTGGAGTTCAATATCGCGAATCAGCATCATCAGGGAGCAAATTATGTCAGGGAAGAGAGGAGGGAAGAGAGGCAATTCCAAGGATACCCACAAGCTGCACCGCAGCCTCGAGGTAGCGGTGGTCAGAGAACAGGGGCACGCAGGAACCCAGGTGAAGCTGGCTATGTCCGGTCTCCATCGCCGGTAACACAGGGTAGAGCAGCAAATTCTCGACAAAATGTCGCTGTGAGAATCTTCTCTTCTCCCTCTCGTCCATTCTCCCGACGTTGATCTTTGTTCTGCCTGTGAGACCTGCATGCTTAATGGCGACAGGGGCGCCAAAGACCCGCGACGGTACCCAAGTTCGGCGAATGGGATGCAGCGGACCCGAAATCAGCAGGATACACGGTCATCTTCAACCAGGTTAAAGAGGAAAAGAAGACAGCCGTCGCTTGGGTCCCCGCAGTTCCGGTTCAACCTGCACGATCTCCGGCCACCGAGAGGGCGCACCACAATGATTCGTACTGGATTGGGGTATGCACCAAGCTTGGTTTCCTGTATTCTCCATGCGTTACTTGAGATGCACTCCATCTTCTAATCCTGTGTGTACAACCGACGCTCGGCAGCTATTCCCATGCCTACGCCCCAGCGTCAGATACTGATCGAGAAGAAGTCCAAATGGTCAAGACGGTGCGACGAATTCGATCGAACAACTTGTGGTTGCATGGGTTGGATACGCTCAGCATGGTCTGTTCGACGAGATATGTTTGGCACAACTCGACATGTGTGTACTGTGAGTGGGGCTGTCATCTGCTATTGTTTTGGTCCAAAAGCTGGAGGTCTCGTAGTTAGTATCCGGCCAACAATCAAGCAAAAAAGAACAATGCATATGAACACTTCATTATCTTCTTCCATTAATTTTGTTCAGTGCGTCATGCATTACAATCCAACATAAATTCTAAAGGATCTGATCTGAAAAGCTTATGCATATGAATTATTGAATCAAAACTGTCCTCTCAAATTGGTGAATGATAAATGAGGGAGGAGACGATCTCATACTGCTATACATTTACCACCCTTCATATGAACTCCGCCAAGCTCGTCCTCAGCGTTGCCTGTGCCATCATCCGGTTGATCTTCTCGGTGGGGTGGAAAGCATCCCAAAAAATGTACTCGTCCGCGTCCTTACACGTTAATGGATTCCACTGATCGCACAGATACCCCATCTCGAACTTCCCCGTCGCACAGCATCCCTCGGCCACATTCTCGATCCCTGTTTCCAAGCAGCGTGCGCGTACGGTGAGAAGCGAGCGTGCCTCAAACGCAGGAACTCATGGCGGGCCGAACTCACTCACCGTAGGCGGATGGGTTCTGGATGATACGAAGCAAGCCATCGTAGACGGGAGCATATCTCAGCTTCAGCCCCGGCAACGAGGAGCACAGCCTGTGGATCAAAGCCTGCAGCTTGACGTTGAAGTCCCTGGCCACCTTGTTGTACTCCTCGATGCAGTCGCCGCCGTGGAGGACGTTGGTCGTCCTCTCCAGGGGAAGGCACCCCATGGCGCCGAGGCTGGTGAAGGAGATCTTGCGGGCGCCCACGGTGTAGATGGCGGTGAGGAAGTCGGCGGCGCGGTCGATGAGGAAGTCCTCGAACTCTTCGACCTTAAACTCCCGGAAGCGCCCGGTCACGTAGGAGTAGTAGTTCTCGAGGAAGTCGTTGGTGCCGATGCTGACGATGTACACCGCCTCCCGGACGATGTGCATGGCGCGGGCCTTCCCCACGTATCTCCCCAGTCTCCTCCGGTACTCCTTGAAGTACTCCACCTCCTGCCATAAGGGTATCACCGACTGCGGTACGACCCATCGGCAGAAGACAAAGCTGCATCAGCTCGCTCCCACGTCGTGTCTTAATTCGGTGACATTCAATCGACGTTGAGCATAAAATGAAATTACGAATGTCTACTAAAACACCACATTTTTTTTGTTTTGCATGTTGTTATAATGATTTTAATGATAATGAATTTCTAGTAAAACACCGCATAAATTACAATCCGATTATAATGATTTTGTATTAAGTTTATAATACAAAAAAAAATACTATAGCAAATAAACCAGTCAAAAAAATTTTTGTTTTGCATGTTGTTATTCTTAAGCCAATAAAAATATATATTTGAAATCTCTCCTGAAAAACTAAAATATAATCACAAAAATTACTCTTTTTTTCCTTTATTGATATACGATAACATAACAAGTTGATTTGTATTGTGCTTTGAGCTTCTTTTTTTTTTCTATCTATATATGAGATTATAATGTTTTTGTTAAGTTATTGAAAATACTATAATCTTATTTAAAAATATTATAATCGAAACAATGATTCCACTATCTTATGGGAAGGGATGAGAGTTTTTTGTTTTGTTTTCAATCTTACTATGGGTATTTTGGATACTGTAGGAAAAAAGAAAACAAAGGGTGAATTACCTGAAAACACTCCTCCTTTTAGATTTTTTATAAAAATATCTTTATTTTCAGAATTTCTTAATAACATCTCTTCTTTTCTAATATCTACAATATTTTTTTTATTTTTCTTATAAACTGGTCTATTGGGTGAATCGATCTAATAGTTATTGTGTTTTTACACAACATTATAATATTTTCAGTAATATCAAAAAAAATTATAGCATAATATTTTCTATAACATTTTTAAAAACCCTAAAAATAATATGTTATAGCGTTTTCAGTAAAATCAAGAAAACACTGTAAAACATAATATTTTTGTATTATGTTATTATTATTATTATTTGGTATCGCCAAAAATGTTACAACATAGTATAAAAGTATTGTAACTAAACCAATTTATCCTTATACAAAAATATTTTTTGAGTATTAGGAAAAAAAATTATCCGAAAATTCTGAAAATGGATATACTACCCAAGAAAACCTAAAACAAAAAAAAGTAGTCGACAGACATCCATTTAATGAAGTCGCCATTTCAGATGAGAGACGGTGGCGAAGGACAAATGCAGGCATACTTACTCGTCCGAAGTATTGTGTTCCCTCTTATATGGCAATCTAATTTGATCACACATCTGCTTCTTCGTGCCATTAGGTGAGATTTCAACTCGGACTGTTGTTTCCAACCAATGTTAGACCACCTATCATGCAACTTTATGCCTTGAGCTTTCCAACCAATGTTTCCAACTCAGCCTGAGTTTTATGCCCTTAGGGTTTAGCTTTCTAGAAGTCAACAACATTGCAACTCTCTGATTTAGACTCATCACTCGTGCAGTAGAACTCTAATCCGAAGTTACCCTAAGATCTGCCAAAGCTTTGTCCCCGTTCATGATGAAGTGGTTTCTAATACACGGTCACGTAGATAGTCTACGGGCATATGTATTACTTCTGCTGATACTGCACGTTACCGTCACATTATTCTCGGAAGTGGACCGACTCACCAGCACGTCGGAGGTGGCGTTGTCGAGCCCGGTGCCGGCGGACGCGAAGCACACTCCTTGGGCGAAGTCTTTGATGCCGTAGTCGGGGTCGAGGTACGCCGGAACGAGCGGCGGGAGGCCGAGGGCCTCCGAGATGAAGTCGGTGGCGAGGCGGCCGTTGCAGAAGCGGCCGGTGGGGCGGCCGCCGGCGATGTCGCGCCCGTAAGGGCTGAAGTTGCTCTTGAGGACCGTCTGGATCTGGTTGTTGTTGCCGGCGTCCACGGTGGAGTCGCCGAAGACGATGAGGGCGGGTACCCGAGCGGAGGCGGCCGCGAGGGACGGGAGGCAGAGGAGGAGGAGGCGGTGGAAGAAGAGGTTGCGGAAGCGGGAGGCCATTGGCGCGTGCGGCAAGCGACGGAGATTATGGAGTGCTTTTGGCAGGTGGTGTGTTTTTGGGAGGCTGATATTATATAAAATAGAGGAAGGAAGGCCACAACAGCTAATGAGAGAGAGAGAGAGAGAGAGAGAGTAAGAAGAGTGGTTGGAACTGTGTTTGGTTCAATCTGTTCACTGGTTTATGGAAATGCTATTTATTGCTATTCATATCTTTATTATATATATATATATATATATGTAATTATATGGTTATATAAAAATTTGGAGGAATAAATATGTGTTTCTAAATATCATCATCATCTCTGAACATTTTATTTGGTTCCAATCATGCAAATAATAGTTTTGAGGCTGTAGATTTGAGAAGCAATTGCATGTTCATCCTACCACATGAAAATTAATAGCTACCATCAATCATGCACTAAAGTTCCTAATGCTGGGATCTATGATCGTCTAAAATATGCCTTTCCTGTTCTTCAATCACCACCATCATCAATTCTATTCTACTTGAAACTTCTGTCTCACTAGTTAGAAGAACAAGAACCATTCTAGTGCGAAAATATTATGTCCCTAAATATTTAGAGGATATATATGTTACGTTAAAATTCGGAAGAGTAAATATATCGTTTGTAAAAATCACATTGTTAATATTATTGTGTTTGATCGTGCAAATAATAGTTTTAAGGCTGTTGTTGTTTTAGAGCAATAATTGCAAATTCATCCACCACATGAAAATTAATTACTACCATCAATCATGTACGTTCCAAGATGTGTATGATTGCCTTCTTCTTCTTCTTCGTCAAACATCCCCATCATCCATTCCACGCTGCTGGAAACCTTATCCTACTGGTTAGAAGAACAAGAATAACCCTAATATGTGTCTACAAGTCAAAGAAGTGATAGTAAATGTCACCTGTGAATCTTCACAGGAGTCACAACGAGCTTCACTTTACTGGTCTCCTTGTTGAACTGACATGATTCTCATGGCACTTTACTGATGCTTCATGTGAGTTTCTGATGGAAGCATTGTGATGTGGTTGAACACTGACCGTAAGGGACAGCAATGAGAAGAAGTTAATATAGCAGCAATGTATAGCTGCAATATTTGGTGGTGGGTTGCACTTAAGCTGAAGCTTGACACCGGCCGATGTATTACACAGAGAGAGAGAGAGAGAGAGAGAGAGAGGAGGCATGCAGCGCTGGTGAAAGCGAACGCATGCAGCATCTTCTCCCGAACTGAAAAGGAGGCCATCATACCACCATTGAATGCGGCTGCCATGGTCGAAGGCTTCGCCCCTTTTGCAAGGCCAGCTTGCGTTGGCTCTTCTCCTCTTTATATTCTTGTCATGTTCCCTCGGTGATGTTTAGCTGGTGCTGCACTGTTAATGATGTGGACTTTGGACCTGTCTCTTACTCTCCCATTTAAGTACATGAATTAATGTATGCTTCTCACATCAATCCATCCCATTTGATGATGGTAGATTAAGGCGCCGTATAATTCCAAAAAGAAGTTTATGATGGGGAAGTCAGCAGTGTATCAAACCCAACTAAATCAGGTGTATATATATATATATATATATATATATATATATATATTCTTTAAGTATTTTAACTATTTGGAAGAGTTTTAATTAGAGATTTGTATATGTGAGTTAATACGTATGAAAAACGTTTAGCTTGGTAAATATTTTGAGAGTACTAATTAGATTTTATTTCATGGTAGATTAAATTAGAATTTATATAAATAATTAAATAGAAAAGGGGTTTTAGTGAATTATGATTTATTTTTATAAATATGCTATTAAGTCTAAAAATTTTCATGCGAGAATCATAAAGAAATACAGTTTATGTTCTTTGAAGATATTTTTTTACTAAATTAAAAAAAATAAGAGAAAATTTCTTTCGAGTTTAAAAAAGAGAATTAAACTTGACTTTGAGTTTATGTATTAATTTTTTATATAGTATAAAATTTTAATTTTTGATGTAGGTAGGGAGTGTTGAACTATTAAAATCTTATGATACTTTTATATGAATATTATTTTATTAATATCTGAGTTTCTCTGTTTTGGTTTCTCCTTTCTTAGCACAAAATAGAGAGATTAAAATTAAAATGAAAGGCCGAAGACAGAGAATTAGATGCTTCTAGAAGACACTCGTCCTATAAATATAAATATAAATATTTATAGACATTAGAATTAGACGGCCCTGTGTATATTGGGCTTTGTTGAGCCCAATATTTGGACGGGCCTTTTTGTTCCTTTTCCAATTTATTATATCCATTAATCAGAATACAGATTACTATAAATAATTAATTAAATTCGAGAAGGTTCCTACCGCTTCCTTCGTTTCTTCTTCACACCATCGAATGCTTCGGTTATCTCTGCTCTCGATTCTTGACGGGCTCGGTGGGCACCATCGGCGGGTAGCACGACCGGGTCGGTCATGGACGAGCTCGCCTGTTCCACCGGATCCATCAAGGTCACCTGCTCTTATTTGTCTTCCCCTCTCGTAACCTCTGCAGTCCTGTGCTGCAACCCTAAGGAGGAGGGGTTTACCCGATGGCGGTGTGGTTGTCGAGGGTTGCAGCTCTTTGGGAACTTTTGACAAACGATCTTCATGCGTTTAGAGTCGTAGGTCGAGGCTGAAGCTTTAGAGAATATGGTGTTTGACGAGTCGGTTTCCGACGGGTTTTCTCGTTTCCTCCCGAGGATGATAAGAACGTCGTATTCGCTGCCGCCAACAGGTTGCTACCGACGTTGGTCCGTCTTCTGGACTCCGCCGTCGGTGCCATCTCCTACCACGAGACGAGGGAGAAGGCCGCAGCGGCGATCAGGAGGATCTCGCCCATGCAGAGTTGTCGCCGCCTCCTGCTGGCGGAGGGCCCGCCCCTCCTCAACCACCCTTCCCGCGTCTGGAGTCTGAGGGAGGCGCCACAAAGGAAAAGGCCTTCGTGGCCCTCCAAACCCTAATGCTAACAAAGGAAAACGGGTCATCATCGGATCCCACGGTGGGATCACAGCCTTTCGTGAGATCTGTCGTGCAAGAAAGCCCTTCGCCTCGGCCACCGCCGCCGTAGTGATCAAGAAAATTGAGGTGAATTATTTTACTTTCATAATTATGAAGATCCTAATATTAATTTAAAGTACAAGAAGTAATCTATTATTAGCCTACCAAGCGCTCGTTGAAATGCCAAAGGGTGTCTATTTCCAGAAGCAACGAGGTGGGTGTGTGCACTCGGTCGTGAGAATGATACTGTGTTTCCTTGGTGGAATGGTGCGAAAATTGGCTCAAATGCAGGTGCCATTTTTAAAGGTACAAGATTGGTGTTGATCTTGATCAGGCGAAATTTTGGAGTCATGGATGTCATATTATCTGCTTAACTTAGTTTCTTGTCTTAGCTAGCACCTTAAACTTTGTAATCATGCTTTATTGTCCTTCATTTTGCATCCATTCCCCATTAAAATTCTAACTTTTCAATCTTGATGATTAAATACTGTTGTGGGAAACAACTTTGAGTCGTGGCCTTGGGGCCGACGTGGCTCGGTTCGGGTCCGGACGACGGGGATCTCCCTGGGGCGTTCCTCGAGCCCGCTGAGGCGGTCGGGTGCGGTGTCCGATCGGGACGGTGTAGCCGTCTCCTCCGGGCAAGAACTCCTCGCCTGCGCGTCAGGAGGAGACCTTCAGCTTCGCACCTGCACGATCTGTTGATGTAAACAACTTTGTGCCATGTCTCGGAGCCGACACGGCTTGGTTCGGGGCTGAATGGCAGGGATCTTTGCTCGGGGTCTCTTGGGACTGCCGGAGTGACCGACCGCGCGGACCAGACCACGCCAGGGATCGTCGGGATGCCCCGGGAGAAGGCGCCCTCTCCTTGCGTCCCGGGGAAGTTGCTTCGTCTCCTTACCTGCACACAGGTCGGGTCGGAAGCTCGGCCCGACCCATCCGACGATCAAGTTAGCGATGTGGGGTGGAGTTTGCTATCGATGTTCCTCCTCCTCTCTCTGATGAAAGAGAGGGTATTTATAGGGAAGCTTACTACTTCCTGAGCTGCCCGCTTGCAGGGGCAGGCTGGTAGCATCTGGCTTTGTGTTGGCGTGGCGTGAAGAACTGAGCTTTGGTAAGATGTTAATGCGCCTCGGTCGGCGTTCTGGTCTGCATTGACCAGGTGCTGTTGCGTGAGGCTTCATCTGACGTCAGCCGAGTCTTATCATAATTACTATCCTCATCATATTCCCCCCCGGAAAGAAGCTATGCGTCGGTCGTTGTAACGGGAGTCCGAGGCATGGGTTCAGCTTTCAGGTGGGCTGGCCGCGCAGACGCGGTCTCGGGGAGCATGAAGCCAAGGAGCATGAGGCAGGCGGGCTGGTCGCGTAGGTGTGTCTCGGAGAGCATGGAGCCGAGGAGCACGACGCAGGCGGACTGGCCGCGCAGGCGTGTCTCGGGTCATGGGGCCGATGAGTCGAGGAGCACGACGCAGGCGGGCTGGTTGCGCAGGCGTGTCTCGGGTCATGGAGCCGAGGAGCACGACGCAGGCGGGTTGGCCGCGTAGGCGTGTCTCGGGTCATGGGGCCGAGGAGCCGAGGAACACGACGCAGGCGGGCTGGCCGCGCAGGCGTGTCTCGGGTCATGAAGCCGAGGAGCACGACGCAGGCGGGCTAGCCGCGCAGGTGTGGTCTCGGGGAGCATGGAGCCGAGGAGCACGACGCAAGCGGGTTGGCCGTGCAGGTGTGTCTCGGGGAGCATGGAGCCGAAGAGCACAACGTAGGCGGGTTGGCCGCGCAGGCGTGTCTCGGGTCATGGGGCCGATGAGCCGAGGAACACGACGCAGGCGGGCTGGCCGCGTAGGCGTGTCTCGGGTCATAGAGCCGAGGAGCACGACGCAGGCGGACTGGCCGCGCAGGCGTGTCTCGGGTCATGGGGCTGAGGAGCCGAGGAACAAGACGCAGGCGGGCTGGCTG